TCTCATATTATCAGTGAAGCAAAAAATCTATATTGCAGCAGTGCATTTATTATGTCAGCTCAAGCTTCACAAAATAGGTTGCTTTTTAGTTTCCAAAAGCCTTCAACAATGATGGTTAAATATTCCATAAAATAAAAATGTGGAAGAAAATATTGCAGGGGGCATCCAGATGATCAGAGGTTTTTATCAGAATGAGAAAAGGAGTATTGTGCCATCATAATGCAAGCTCTGGCCCTTTCATATGTTCACACATTGTCATGATGCATGTTCAAAAGGGCCAGAGCTTGTATTATGATGGCACGTTGCTTTTTGTCATTTGAACCCACTGTGGGTTCCTTTGAATATTTTTATCTTCACCGCAATTGTGAAAATTGTGAAAATTTAAATTATCAGTTAAATAGGTGGTTAGGTTGCCTTATCTGCTCCAAAGCTTACTGAGCAAATCATAGAGCTCAATTAACCCTGAAATTATCAAGTTGCATACAGAATAGCCAAGGGCAAAAAGTTCCATACAAATGGATAAAATTGCCTTTTCCTAGATGCTGTGATTGAAATTAATAGGGCAGGCTTATAAATATGGGAAATAGATACATAAATAAAATGGTGGGGGAGCCTAGTGCCATGTTTTCAAGTAGATTTTTCTCTAATGACACTGTTTCCAGTCACATGGCAGATAAAGAGGATCTTAACTGGTTCACATTCTTCATATTTATAGTTGTAGAAACTTCTCAACTTCAATGCTGGGCCTAAATCTTTCAAAGCAAAAGCTTGTATATATATCACAAAGTGGTACCAATCAGCACCAGAAGAATTTCAGCATATTAAGGATTCTCTGTGACAATCTGACATATAGCATGATCCACCTGTATGTATCTCCACAAAATTTGACTTTTTGTATACAGGTCTTCATCTTTACTTGTCCCTGAAATTGGCTTAGAGAAATTATATTTACAGTTTTGTCATTTTACCTTCAACAAATCTAGCCTGTGTTATTAAATGAACATCCTTAACTCTATCATTTGCTTCATCTATCAGAACAACAAATGGTTTCTTGGTTTTTTAAATTAAGCAAGGATGTTTGTGAGTTTTTGAAGAGACTGGTGCTGAACACATTGCTTCACTGCTTACTGTGAATCAAGATAGCTATTTCAGAGAAACGTTTTGACCCAAGTTTTCAGATGGAGAAATTAACCTTATTAGTATTTAACTAAGAAAAGGCATAGTGCACATATTTTTACTGATTACAACATGTAGTTAGTATATTTAAATGGAATTTTGGTAAACTGAATATTCTATCTCACTGTATGTAGAGATTGTGGCCTATAAATAATGGTTTATGACATACCATGTCATACAAACCCAAATATTTTTCTTAAATCATGGCTTAGTATAATTTGTGAGTGCATTTTTTTCATTTTGAATTCTCCATCACAAGAAAGCATTTATAAATTTTGCTCATAATTTTATATAATATCCTTTTATGGGATTCTGTCTTTAAAAATAGCATAGTGTTAGTGTTAAATAGATGTAATTTTGACTGAGTATATTGTAAGAGAATATCCTGGGGTAAGCAGACAGAAAGATTGCCAATGTAGGGTTTCAAAATAGGAAAATAATCACACACAAAAATATCTATGGAATTTATTGCCAAAGTCTGTTTTACAAAGTTCAGATGATACCTGGTAGACATTATAGATCCTCCCAATAAAAATAACAATTCTATTTATTCAAGTACTTGATGTTGAGAACTATGTGAACTATTTGTTGGATTGCTGTGTTTTCTGAGCTTCCTTTTCTTCTTGCAACTATTTCATTACCAGCCTAGGTAACATAAGTGCATCTGATTACATTACTTAGACTGGAAAAAAAAAAAGTCTGCAAGAAGAAAAGCAAGCTCAAAGAAAAACAAGAACCCAACAATTCAACGCTGAGGTATATTTATTCTCCACTACTGGAACTCTATTTTGCCTAGCTCATGAGTTTTCCTAAGTATCCTTGTCAAATATACTATGCTCAATAGACACACCTGTGCACCGTTAACTGCAGCAACAGGGCTGTGCAAAACATTTGAAAGAAGTAAAAGATGGTATGCATTCACATACATTTTCATTTAGACACCACTGAAGCTAAGTCGTTGCATACAGGCACATTTATGCAGGCTGCAGGAGATAGCATTTGAAGCAGCTGTGCAAATTCTCCAAAGGACATGGCTTTTTTAATCTTTCGTGCTTCACTTGCACTAGAATGTGGTTGTGCAGCACTTTGCATTTGATCTCCAAAAAGTGCTTCAGAGTTTATGTCTGCAACATCTTAAAACAGTTTTTTCCCCCCAGGACTGATCTTTTTGGAGACTAAATACAGTGGTACCTCGGGTTATGAACGCCTCTACTAACGAACGTTTCGGGTTATGACCAGCTTCGGCAGGAAAAATTTACCTCGGGA